TCAGACTTCTGGAGGGGATGTAGATTCGTAATAGTGTGTGGAAGTAGGCTGGTGCTGAGCCTGTGGTTGTTCTATATGCAAGCATCAATGTCTTGAACTTGATGCGAGCCGCAACCGGTAGCCAGTGCAAGGAGATAAAGAGAGGAGTAGCATGGGCTCTTTTGGGCTCGTTGAAGACCAGTCGTGCCGCTGCATTCTGAATCATTTGTAGTTTGATTGTGCTTGATTCCAGCCAGAAGAGCATTGCAGTAATCCAGCCTAGAAATTACAAGGGCCTGGCCAAGAAGTTGTGCAGCATGCTCTGTTAGAAAGGGCCTGATCTTTCTGATGCTGTGTAGTGCAAACCTGCAAGATCAAGCAGTCTTTGCAATGTGGTCTTTGAAGGTCAGCTGATCATCAAAGATTACACCAAGATTTCTGACCGAAGTTTATGGGGTAATTGTAGAAGAACGTAGCTGGATGGTGAAATCGTGCTGTAGAGTTGGAGTGGCAGGGAAGACAAGAATCTCAGTCTTTGCCAGGTTGAGCTGTAGGTGATGTTCTTTCATCCATGCCGAGATGTCCGCCAGGCAGCCTGAGATCCGGTCAGCTACCGTTGGATCATCTGGTTGAAATGATAGATAGAGCTGTGTGTCATCAGCATAGCAATGGTAGGAGAAGCAATGTGCCTGTATTATGGGACCCAGTGATGTTGTGTATATGGAGAAGAGGAGGGGTCCAAGAACTGATCCCTGAGGAACCCCAGTGACAAGTTGATGTGCTTTGGATACCTCCCCTCCCCAAGCCACCCTGAAAGACCTACCAGTGAGATAGGATTCAAACCAGCGAAGTGGAATCCCTGTGATGCCCAGTGATGAGAGGGTGGACAGGAGGATCTGGTGATTGACAGTGTCAAAAGCTGTAGATAGATCCAGCAGAATAAGAACTGATGATTTGGAATCAGCTTTTGCCATCCGCAAGGCTTCCGTGACTGACAGTAGCGCAGTCTCAGTTGAATGGCCACTCCGGAAACCTGACTGGTTAGCATCTAGTTTGTTGTTCTGTGAAAGAAACAATGATACCTGGTTGAAAACAACTCATTCGAGGGTTTTCGCTATGAATGGAAGGAGAGAGACAGGTCTGTAGCTATCTGTAAGTGAAGTGTTTAATGTAGGTCATGTACAGATTAAGGTCCTGCGGGGCCCCGGGGCATCAGCCTCTTTGTTGAAATTGCAATTTGTCCTTGTTGGAAAATTCTGTTTAGGATGATAGCTGTGTTTTGTAGCATGTTGGCTTGTTTGTATCAGGTCTAAGCTGGTCCAAACGGGTCATTAATTGGTTGACCAGCCACCATGTTCCAAGTCCAGCTGGATCACCATAAGTAGCTGTTTTTTTGGTGGTGTACGAGCTTATACCAGCCAATGGCAAGCTTAGACCAAACTAGAAACCAGCTACTAGCTTAAATAGCTTTTCCCATCAAAGAATAGACTTTATAATAAAGTCCCAATTTGGATATATAAAGTCACAAATACAAGAAGTTGAATAATTATTTAATAAAAATAATTAAATAAAAATTTAATATTGTTGCAGTTGCAAAAATAATCCCACCTCATGTGCAATACTTTCCAAAAGAGACATCAGTGTACAATGACTATTATACAAAATCAAAACTGCAATAAAGGTTTCTGTGAGTGCTGAGGAGGGGCCAGAAACAAATAACATCTCTCATTTCTTTGTTTATTTCATATCATGCCAACAGCCACTGGCACAAAGTGCTGTTCATCTGTCTATATCAATTTTACAGCTACAGCGACTTGTTTTTGGGTGTCGGGCCTCTTAGCATGAGGCCCTGGCAGTCAGAGGATCCGGGGCTCTGGCCCTGATTGACCCGCCCATAATCTGTCCTTGGACTAGACTATGTATGAGGCTGGTTTACATGTAAGAGTGAATGTGTGTGCCGGCCACTTTAGATGGTGCTATTTTTACTGGCACCGCAGAGAACATTCTCACTTCTGTCAGGATCATTCTGCTCAGTGATGGCTAGATTCATGACACAGACTGTTTGAGTTGTTCGGCTCTCTCGGCTAATGTTAGCCTTTTGTCCACATTTACACCAGTGCTTGCATCAAGCACACACATGCATATCTTGCCACACTCCACTGTGCCAAAAATGATTTTCTCGCTTATCAAATATTTTTATTTTCCAGTGTGTGTGGGGGGGGGGGAGATATCTAAACATCTTTAAAACAAGATGGATTTACTTGAAGCAAACTGCACCATATATATCACAACTTTTTTTTTTTAGAATATATCTTTAAGTTGTGTTTTTTTAATTGTTTATTTTTTATTTACATTTTATTTTCTTAATCTTTATTTCAATTACAAAAATGAATAGTTTTAGTTAATAGTAACAACATATTCTTAATTCATATATTCTGTAATGAAAGTTTCTTTATGTTTTAACTTTAAAAACACCGAATAAGAAATGCTTTTTTTTTTTACAGTGCCAACATATATCACACATGAAAGTGTGAGCCATCTCGCCTCACACCCCTGTAACCTAAAGCCATTTAAGTCTCACATTCTCAGTTTGCTCACCTCCAGGTTTCTGCACACTGGCACAATGCTCCCTTTCCCTAGTGTCTCCTTTTAGTGCAGCATTCAACCAGGTCTTCCGTTTATGTATTGCAGACATTTTCAGACAGGTGTGTGGTCCAGGTGGACTGACAGATCAGAAACATCTCAGTCTGTTACTGCACGAGGCTATTCAGATCCCTCGGCAGCTCGGGGAGGTGGCGGCATTTGGAGGGAGCAACGTGGAGCCCAGTGTCCGCAGCTGCTTTCGAATTGTAAGACATCAGATACTCTCTTTCAGTATCTCTCATTTTCTCTGATATGCTTTCTGTTCAGATGATGCAAGGGCCTCCCTCTACACAGACCCTTTGCTCTCTGTGATCAGCAAATCTTCTTAAATATTTGTACCAGAGGCACACTTTCTCTCTTTCCTTCTTTATTGCCTATCACATTTCTCTCACGCCCTCGCTCTCTCCTAACTAGGCTCTGCTTCTCCTGGGTTTTTGGACTGGAACGTACAGAGATTAAAGAGCTGTTCTGTGATTTTATTCCTTTGGGTTTTAGTGAGTCACTGGCCAGAACCATACTCTACACAAATGCTTGGCCAGTACTTGGTAGTCCTGTTGTACTTATTAAATGTGCATTTTTCCTTCACTGTGCCAGCTTGCATACTCAAGGGGGCAATAGAGTTACCTTCAAACATCTGTGCCATTAAAAGTGAAGTGCATAATTTCAATGCCATTAACGCCACTAAACGGAATAGCAAAAACAATGGCTATTTTTAACTGTTTCCCCAAACACACTCAGTCTGTCTTTGGTCGCAGACCAAGTATTCTAACAAAAAAATAAAACATATCAACATTGTCTCAACTGATGGCATTATTGGCAGTACTAATTTGCAAATGTTTGGGAAACCTGTCTGGAATTCAGTGTTTTTGCTATTGATGCTAGTGGCACAGATATTACACACTTCACTTAACTTTAACAGTGCCTTTCAAAAGTTTGGGCTCTTGAAGATTTTTTTAAAGTTTTTGAAAGAAGTCTCTTATGTTCGCCAAGGCTGCATTTATTTGATAAAAAATACAGTAAAACTGTAATATTAATATATATTTATTCATGTGATGGCAAAACTGAATTTTCAGCTAGTCTTCAGTGTCACATGATCCTTCAGAAATGATGCTGCTAATATGCTACCTTGGTGCTCAAGACAGAATTATTATCCCAGTTTAAAGCAGTAATGCTGATTAATATTTTAGTTTAAAACCATGTTACATTTTTTCAGGAAACTTTGATAAATAGAAAGTTCAAAATAACTTTTAATAATATTTTATTTATATTTATTTGAAATGGAATTTCTTTGTAGCAATATAAAAGTCTTTACTGTCACTTTTGATCTATTTAATGCATCCCGAATGATTGTTTTCTTTAAAACCAAAAATCTTACTTACCCAAAATTTTTGAACAGTAGTCATTTTTGATTGTAGCGTTCATGAAATTTCGAAACCAAGCTTTCCAAAGAGTTTAGGATCATATGCAGTACTTGCGTAGAGTGTGTTTCGGACTTAATAGTCTAGGCTAATTAAGGATAATGAAGGTGAAATGCCTGCTGACACCATCTCATCTATCTTTACACTTATGAGGCTGTAATTCAGAAAATGCAGGGACATCGCAGTGGAGTGTAACCTTCTGGCATTTCATTCTACTGATGGCCTAATTATGAAATTGGTGTAGGGCACAGGTTTCCTGTAGAATGGCCTTAAACCATTAATTCTTAGGTCTGCCAGCCCTTAATTAAATCCTGATCCAATCAAGAGCATGTGTGCAATTTCAGGCACACATAATTAAACTTAATTTATTTTCACGTTTTTTCCATGTCACCTTTATAATTCTGGAAGAAATGCCAGTCAGTGCTTTCCAATTACACTTTTTTTTTTCACTGGCTGCATTAAAAATGACAGACCGAGAATGATGCAGCACAGCCAGTCGGCGTGTGTTTCAGCGTGTGTCTAGATGAAAAGACTGGTTCACTTTGTTTGAAGTTATGGACCATCTCATGGGAAACTCTCGGCTGTCCCTGTAGAGTGCACTGTTTAGAAGATCTTCTTTTGTTGTTTCAGTGAAACTTCTGGAGTCTTCCTCTCAACTCCACACTGCACATTTTAGTCTCAGTCCCAGACACTGCTAAGACACACAGCCACATTGCCTTGCCCTCTCAGGAGACGACATGCTCCAGCGACTACTAAGGGCCACGCTAGAGATACTCATGTTAATTATAAAGCTCTGCCCAAGCTTCAGAGTGCGCCCAAATTAAATCAACCTTTTAATGCATCTTTGATGCATATTTAATGAGAATTTAGCCTATTCCAGATTTTTATGTCATCCTCTTTTATTAGGGTTATTGCTTGTCATCCATTTCCCACTGTGTCACTATAACAAGGGGCCGCGTCTCTGAGAATGTATCCTTTGCTTTCACGGGGCTGTGACTGCCCTCTATCACATGAGTACTTTTAAGGGACATGCTCTGATAGGGTGCTTGTGCCCATCAGCTACCAGAAGTTGTTTTTGTGCTTAATTGGGCATGCATAATGAACAATATGTCTTCTGGGTATCTGGATTCATGCTACTTGTTGCTGTTTGATTTTTATCTTTCTCGTGTATGTTCTGTGTCTACCTCTAGGCTCCAGGTAAGTCAGCAATTGAGGTGTCTCACTTTCTGGAGTGGATGGGCCTAGAGCCTCAGTCGGTGGTGTGGCTTCCTGTTTTGCACCGGGTGACCGTGGCCGAGACAGCCAAGCACCAGGCACGCTGCTACATCTGTAAGCAGTGCCCTATCAAGGGCTTCAGGTGAGCTGCTGCAGCGCTGAGTAGTTTTTTGGAGAAAGACGGCACAGATCTCTCTATCTTTGTTTTTTAACTACTCAAAATAAATTATTCAAAAATCTTCTTTTAGCTGATCAAAGGGTTTGATGTAATAGCATTAAAGCTAAGAACTGCAGAGGGAGTAGTATACATGGGTTCTTAATGGACTGAATTTGTGTAAATTAATTAGGGCTGAGCTTAACTGAATATGTGAATACTGTTAAATTTATATTCATTTTATTTTTTAATTTGGTAGATCTTTGTTACATATTTTAATGTATTATTTATTTTTTGATATCTATGTTGTTTTTTCCTTCAAAGGGAAACGGAAGGCATTAAAACTATTTGCTTAAAAGTGGTAAAATTAGGCAAAAAAAAAAAAGAGTAGGATTACCCCGCTGCTTATTAACAAGAATACATTATGTACAGTACCGTTCAAAAATTTGGGGTCAGTAAGATTTAATTTTTTAAAGAAAGAAATTAATACTAATATTGTAAATTGATCAAATGTGACAGTAAAGACTTTTTACTTAAAAAAAAAAAGTTAGAAAAAAATCTTCTATTTCAAATAAATGCTGTTCATTTTAAACTTTCTATTAAAGGGGTGGTTCATTGCGATTTCACTTTTTTAATGTTAGTTAGTGTGTAATGTTGCTGTTTGAGCATAAACAATATCTGCAAAGTTACGAAGCTGAAAGTTCAATGCAAATGGAGATATCTTTTAAAGGGGTCCTGTTATGCTCTTTTACAATGTCTTGATTTTATTTTGGGGGTGTACTAGAACAGGCTCTCAGAGGGGCGGGACGTTTAGACGCACACTAGAGGCGGTTTAGCCAATCACAACAGACTGGGCTAGCTAACCAATCAGAGCCCATCGCCTATTTTTGAGGGAGGGGCTTCATAAAAGAAGGAAACGATCAGCCCGTTTCTCAGAGAAGGGACAGAGCTGTGTGGAATAAAGGTAAATTATGTGAAAAATAATGAGCTTTTTAAAATACAAAGCATTAGCACATGTTAGACTGCACCCCATAAACACAATCAAGCCTAGAAAAAAACCAGTGAACCACCCCTTTAATCAAAGAATCCTGAAAAAAATATTACGGTTTCCACAAAAATATTAAACAGCCCAACTGTTTTCAACATTTATAACAGGGTTCCTCAAATCTTGCCCTGGAGGGCCAATGCGCTGCAGAGTTTAGCTCCAACATTAGAATAATTTCTGAAGGATCATGTGACACTGAAGACTGGAATGATGTTTGCTGAAAATTCAGCTTTGCCATCACAGGAATAAATTACATTTTAAAATATTTTAAATTGTAATAATATTTTACAATATTAATATTTTACTGTATTTTTGATCAAATAAATGCACCCTCGGTGAGCATGAGAGACTTATTTTTAAAAACATTAAAGCATCTTAACTAACCCAAACTTCTGAATGGTAGCGTACAATAAGTAATATTGTGTTTTGTATGCTGGTTTTCTTGATTACCTTTACCAAAAGGTTTTCTTCGTCGATCTACTTTAGTAGAAACAGCCAAGTTTAGCTGGTGAACACAAGTGACTATAATATCCCACCATTTAGACCTATACTAAACCATCACTATCCAGCATAAAGCACACTGCTAGTTTTAAATCGTTATTATCAGCAGGGTGGTTGAGATTCAATATTTTAATCTATTCATAATCCTAAAATTAACACCTCAATAATTGGATGTAAAATGTGTGTCTGCCTGTTTCAGATACCGGAGTCTGAAACAGTTCAATGTGGACATCTGCCAGACGTGTTTTCTGACAGGCAGAACTACCAAGGGCAAGAAACTACACTACCCCATCATGGAGTACTACACCCCGGTACATATGCTTTGTTACTTGCAGAGGTTTTTTCCTTGCCAACTGGCAGCTTTTTGCTTGCTCAAAGGTTTCAGATTCAATCACTATTGTACAAGGCACTACACAAAATGAATATGAATTGAACCAAATTGATCTCCTGCAGTGAAATACAGCACAAGGCTATTTGCTTAATGGTTTTCCCATGCTCCAGTCTGAGTTTTATAGGTGGGCATCTTTATTATGCACCGGCTTTCTGTGGCTGCTCAAAAGATGATAGATTGAGATGGGAGGAAGACGAATGTTCTGTGGAGGAACTGATGTACTGGCTGTGTGTCGGAGGCATGTTACTAAGGGGATGTGTTGTGTCTCAATCGCTCATGTTCTTTCATTTTTCTCTCCGCTGGCTCTTTTTCTATCTCTCTCTCTTTCTGAATCATTCCAGACGACCTCAGGCGAGAAGATGCGGGACTTCGCAAAGACGCTAAAGAACAAGTTCCGCTCGAAGCAGTATTTTAGTAAACACCCTCAGAGGGGATACCTGCCTGTTCAATCAGTACTGGAGGTGGAGAGCTCTGAGACGTGAGTCTGACTTCCTGTCTCTGCTGATGAGAATCACACCTAAGCGCCGTTGTGCTCTTTTTGAAGGTTTATAAGTGGAGAACTGAGGGACTGAACAAAGTGCACTGCAAGCAATTATTTTCTTCCCTGTAGAAAAGAAACATTTTAAACCAGCTTAAGATGCCTTGATGGCATTAGCTGGTCTGTTGACTGGTTTTGAAGGAGTTTTAGTCACATTTCAGGTCGTCAGACTGGGAGACCAACTGGCTGCTCAGGTTAACCAGCTAGGTCATTTGTTGGTTTTAGCAGCCTCACCAAGGTGGTCGTCAGGTGGTTCCCATCCTGACTAGCTTTAAACTCCCAAAACAGGAACCCAATCGGATCATCCTGGCTAGCATGGGAGACCAGCTAAGACCCACAAACCATCTTAGACCATCTTATTTTTGTCTTGCTTTCTTGTAAAAAATATCTAAGCATCCTTAAAACCATAAAAATTGAGTTGAGATAAAGATGGGGAAGTCGTGGCCTAATGGTTAGAGAGTCGGACTCATAACCCAAAGGTTGTGGGTTCGAGTCTCGTACCAGCAGGGATTGTAGGTGGGGGGAGTGAATGTACAGCGCTCTCTCCCACCTTCAATACCACGACTGAGGTGCCATTGAGCAAG